GTTTGTTATTTTCAGTTTTTGTATTTTCTTGTAACAGGGTTTCTTTAAGTCTGTTCACTTGTGAGCTAACTGACTAGTTAATCAATGAGCTGGCTGCTTAGCAGTGACCATAGCAGAGGAAGAGGATCCCTACAAGCAAGTGGAGAGAGAATTCAGACTCAACATATGGTGCAGATTTGATATCAGAGGCACAAACAGAGACTACTTTTGGTGAACTAAATCTACGCTTTTGGGACCTCTCAGTCTTTTCTTACTGTGTTTGTGTGGACTGAACTGTTCAAATTTCACTTTTAGTTTTCTCTTTACTTATGTTTACTGTACTATAGATACTATTTGTGGGTTATAAAATAGCTGTGTTCTGTTGTAAGAATTAGATTATTTGTTTCTTCATAAGATTTTATACAATTTAATTACAATCATTTATTTATTTATTTCTTTTGGAACTTGAAGCTAGGCAGGCTGACACTGGGCAATGCATGCTGAAATTCCTTACAGACTGAACTTCTGTGTCTTCAGTACTGCTGTGGGAGTGGGGTTTTTTTTTTTTAAGACACTAGAGAAGGGCAATGAAGCCCACCACACCCAAGCTTACACCACACTAGGTTCTTCCCGGTTCTGCCAGTGCTCCTTAGTCCTTACCTATAGCCTCCCCTGGGTGTGTCTAGACTACAAGGTTTTTTCAAAAAAAGTGGCCTTTTTTCGAAAAAACTTCCTCTGCGTCTAGACTGCTGCCGTTTCCTTTCAAAAGTAAATCGAAAGAATGTGGCAGTTTTTTCGGCCATGGAAAACCTTGTTTTACGAGGAAGAACGCCTTTTTTTGGAAAGTGCTCTTTCGAAAAAAGGCGCTATGTAATTCAAACTGTGCTTTTTCGGAAGAGAACATCCAGACTGCCTGGGTGCTCTCTTTCAAAAATGTGGCTCGCTTTTTCGAAAGTACTGGTTGTAGTCAAGACGCTCTTTTTCGAAAGAGGCTTTTTCAAAAGTATCTTTAGAAAAAGCCTCTTTCAAAAGATGCTTGCAGTCTAGACGTAGCCAGGCACAGAGCACCTTGTAACTTACTGCTTGTTCTTCTAATAGTCAATGTAGACACAAATTTCTGCATTTAGCTTCTTCAACAAACAAGCAAAATGAAGCAACCAAAGCCCCAAACTAAATGGCAAATTTTCTCAACAGCCCCTGAAGGGTAAACACAGAAACTATCCAATGTTTATTTTTCCTAGCTAAAGAGAACAGTCTATTTAGGGTAAAGGGCTCTTGCGTGATCTTGGCTCAGTTCATGTCATTTTGGCTTCTGGTGGGGAGATTATTACAGGTTTAGGAAAGGCAATTGCAACTGTATTTATTTATGGGGTATCTAGCTATTAGAGGGAACTAAAGATTTCAACAGACTTTGCAAAAAACCTTCTAATTCTAGTTTTCTGGCTGATGAATCCCTTTCACATTAAAAGGTAGGCATCAGGCAATATAACAAAGCTCAGTATAGATATTCCTGCTTGGGCTGAGACCTGGGCTCTGAGACCTGGTCAGGGGAATGGGTCTCAAAGCCTAGACTCCAGTCTATGAAAATATCTACACTACTCTTTTTAGCCCCATGCAAACCCAAGTCAGTTGATCTATATTTGAAGACTTGCTGCCGCTGTCAGTGGTTGTTGAGGGAGAGAAATTAAACTTAGATGATGGAAGTTAATAAGTTGCTAGGCCTAAACTATCCAAGGCTGCATTTTCAGTCAGTTTACATTTTTCCACCTGCATCCTATGCACAGCCACAAATATGCAAGTGATCTCAGTTTTCATGTGCAAATCCAGTAATTGTTGGCCTGATTGATTGATTTGTATTTTGTAAACATACAAAAGACAGTGGCTAAGACTAGGAAATTGAGTCCATAATTTACAAAGTTTATGCAAACAGCACGTCCATCAGTGCTGCTAGAAAATAACATGTTTAAGAGAGAAACTGCAAGCCAATTGTCAGTTGCAAATACAAGGAGAACTAAAGGCACTTTGGAAAAGAGATTTAGAAAGAGACACACAGACAAGACTGCAACCACAGAGATGCAGCTTCATTCTGACAAACCACACATCCCTGTATCTCATTGGGCAACCAGCTCTTAAGGTCAACACCCCCATGCTGTCCTGATGTCATTCT